AAAAAAAAAAAATGTTGTTTATTTTAGTTTTCTTCATAACATTTTTTTTTTCAGATTTTTTTGAAATGTTTTTTTTTTTTTGTCCGCGTTCGACCCGAACGGCCGAACGCATCCCCTAGGGGTCCCATAGCCGGTTACCTTGTTTTGTAGCTGTATTTGGGGCAACTTTCAGTCTAGTTGCAGCGATAATGACAATGCCTTCTATTCGGATGAACAAGACAGTTGTCCACTTTTCCACATGAGGATCTTTCTGATTTGCATTTGTTTTTTTTTTTATAAATAAAACTCTTTCTTGTTTTAATTAAGGGCCCAGTGCCCAAGGCAGGAGAAAACAAATCAGCAAGGAGCCATATTCAGGGGCAGCAGGGTCTCCAATCCTACTCTGTGAGGTGGAGCCCCTCCCCTGTATTAATCCAAAGACACAGCTAAAAAATACATACTAATCAATTCTAGCACCTGGCATCAATGGACACTATTTCTAAGACTGCAAAAAATGGCCAAAACTGAAGTCGCCTGAGCAAGCATCAATGGTGACAAGGGAAGGGCAAGAATCCAAATGTTGACAAAACCATTGAACCCCAACTCTCAAGTTTGAGGATTTTGCAATTCTCTGAAACCAATCAAGGTAGATGATAAGTCTCAAGTCCTTTTTAACACGAAAAATCACCTGTTGGGAAGCCGGAGTGTCATGAGATAGGACCACTTCATTCCGTTGTCGCCATAAGTGCCATAGAACAGTTGCTCTGAATGATTCATAAACATGAGCTCGGGGTTTAGAGAGATGAAGAGAAACCGTTCCAAAGAGAATTGAGTCTACCGACCACAAGTCGCCCCATTCAAGGGGCAGAGGGGATTGATGTACGAGGTGTGCCCAAACAGATCTAGCATTTTTGCAAGTAATCCAAAGATGATGTTGGTCTTCAACCAAGTGGGAGATCGAACAGGCTGTACAGAAGGGCRAACCTTGGCGTCTTCGGCGGAAAAGAAAAGCAGCAGTAGGTACCGCATTATGCAGAATCTGCCATAACAGACCTGCATGTTTTGCCACTCGTAAAGACGGTAGAAGTCKSCAAAAAAMCGGTAGGCAGTGCGGTTGAATGGTATAYCCAAGCCTTCTCCATTTGGTGACAATACTCCAATCTATATCTACCTCAGGTAAAAGCAGAAGATATGCATGCCTGACTGAGTGCTGTGTGAGAGCAACAGAGCAACCGGGTTTTCTGGGRTCTTCCCAAGACCAATCCCGTGGGTCAAGTCGAAGATCGCAGGAAGCAGTAGATATTCTGTAGGGAAGATAAGAGATATTGAGTCCTTTCKATTGCTCMAAAACACAGACTGGCGACAAATGAAGGAGAGTAGAAACAATAGAAGTCAAAGTAGATCTGGTGAGTTCAGTCCCTAAACCAGCATGTCCATCTGTCGCTGTCCAGGCAGTCATCTCCCACTCTTCATCTGTTATTTGATGTTCCAATCGCCACAACTTGTGAGGAGGCTGTGTATCTGTCTCACAAAACCAGGAACCTGGCAAATATCGCTGCTGAGAGATGATATATGTCCATTCTGCTGGTATGGCATTGAGCACAGTGTGAAGATTCTGACGCCAATTTCGAAGGCCACCCAATGAATCTCGAATTTGCAACTCTTGCTTCCAAGTATTAGAAGTGAAATCCCAAAGATTGGCTAAGGTGGCTACACCACGACACATCCAACTCCTACCAAAAGAGCCAGTGCCAAGCACAGGAAGAGGTTGGCCATTTGGAGTCAAAATACAGGGATTACCAAAAATTGGTTGAGACAGGAAGCGGTCCCGCTGCAATATTGGAGTAAGTCGTTGTGGGATAATTTGCTTCCAGGCTGCCAGTATAGACTTCCAAATCGGGGAGAGAGCCGATTTGCGGCAGTATTCAGGCAAAAAAAGAGCTAGATAAACAATATCAGGGTCAATCTGCAAATCTAAATCAAATGACAACAGACATTTGGCAAGGGCTTTCCAAGTTGCCGAATCATCCGCAAAAATGAATCTAGGCACCCATTTAGTCAAAAGAGCAGTAATCTGCAAATGTGGATCCAACACTCCCAAACCACCATTATTCTTTTTCTGAATGATTTTGTTCCAGGCAACTTTAGAAATAAAGGCTGACTCATTAATTCTTTCCTTCCATATATAATTAGCTGCAGCACGCTTGATATGACTGTAAACTGATGAGGACAGGGCTGTAATTGAGTGCTCATACCAAATTTTAGCAAACACAGCATTATTAACAGTGAGCACTCGGCCATATAGCCCTGCTCCTTTGGCCTTGGCCCACGAAGATAATACTGAGTTGATTCGTTCAACTATCTGCAGAGAGGTCTGACCAATGTCACCCTGAAAGTTGACATGGTACCCAAGCAGTCTTTGAACATCTTCAGCAGTTTTGATTGGAATTCCCCAGTGGTGTGGTGGAAGGCAGTGCGAAGGAATCATCAAAACTGTTTTGTGCCAATTTATTTTGGCCTCGGAGACGTAGGAGAAAAATCCAATAGTTTGTTTTAGAGCTTCAAATGCTCCATCATGTAGTAAAATAAACTGCGAAGTATCATCAGCAAAGGCCTGCCCCTTGGCCTCACAATGTGGAGGAAAGCACAGTCCAACTATCCGAGAATCAAGTCGTATCATTGCATGAAGAGCTTCAATATATAGAATATACAGATAGGGCGCTAATGGACACCCTTGTCTCACTGATCGTGTCAAAGAGATGGGTTCTGAAAGTTTCCCATTAACTACCAGACGTGTAGTAGCGCCAGTGAATAATGTCCGTACTGCAGTCACAAACTTAGGACCAAAATTCAATCTTTGAAGAAGCAAGAAAAGGAATTCCCAGTTAACCCGATCATAGGCTTTTTCGAAGTCAAGAAGAAGGACACCAACCGGTTGCTCAGTCCGATTGATGTACTCCATCCCTTGACAGACAGCCATAACTGTATCTAAAATTTGGCGGTTTTGTAAGAAGCCAGTCTGATCTTGATGAATTAAATTGGGTAAGACATTTTGAATCCTATTTGCTAGCATTCTAGATATTACCTTATAGAGAGTGGTGGTAAGTGTAATTGGTCTTTTGTTACGTATTTGCGTCTTATCTCCTTTCTTATGAACGAGTGTGAGTACGCCTTGAACATGAATTCGAGGCATAACTTCACCTTCAGTCAACGCATTGACGAGATGAAGGATTGACGGAGTGATCGTTGATGAACATTTACGGATGTATTCTGTAGGAATACCGTCAATGCCCGGAGCTTTGCCCAAAGGCAATTGCTGGATAGCTCGCCTCACTTCCAAAGAAGTGAAAACTGTATCAATTTCTTCACTTTGTTGATGTGTGAGACCAGGAGGCAAAGCAGGCCAAATGTGCGTTCGACAATGGGCTGCCATATCAACATCCCGAATTCTAGTAGTAAAAAGGTCTGTGTAAAATGCTGTAGCATACTGCAGTACTTGTTCTGTTGTATGGGCGTTGGGTTGGGTATGTTGAAAGGGGTGTTGTAATTCTAGGATCATAGTATCCGTGTTGGGAAGTCTTCCCCGGGCAACGTGGGTTTTAGTCATCTTGTCTCCTGAAAACATCCACTTGCGTTCCATGCGTATAACTGAGCGTTGATGTTCAGCTTTATGATGGTGCAAGGAAGATGCTATATCTGCACGATACAAATCAAAAAGAGCCACATCAGAAATGGTTGGGTCAGTCAGTTTAGTGTAAGTGTCTTGGAGAGACTGTGTATGAAATTTGGCTCGCCGGATCCGGCAGTGTTCCACCACTTTTGTACGACTCAGGCGAATCAGAGAGTCAAAAGCTAGAGATATGCTTTTAGATTTCGAAAAATGAGCAGGCATTGTAGACATGTCAAATTTCCAGGTTTCTTGAACATCTTTGATAAATTGTCTGTCATGCGTGAGCCATGCCGGGAATCTGTAAAGATCTCTGTATCCACGAATATGTAATCCGCGTTTAAGTGTGACCAGCAAGGGGAGATGGTCCCAACCAGGGGTGGGGATAACCTCCACCTGCTGAAGTAAAGGCAGTAAGTGGGCTGTGAGAAAGCAAATGTCTAGACGGCTACAAGGCAAACGCTGCTGATTAATCAAAGATGTGCCTATCCATGTATATGAAGAGTCATCAGGATTAATATGTCGGAAAGCATCAATCCAACCATACTGAGCAAGAATTGCTGCCAATTTCAGTGCTGCACGCGAGGGCGATCGTGGTGTTGTGGAGTCAATATAAGGGTGCAAAACTGTGTTCCAGTCCCCTATGAGAATAAGTCAATCTAAAGAGGGAACTGTACTTGGCAAAAAATCAAAGAAGTTTGATCGTCGCCTCAGCTCAGCAGGGGCATATATATTATAGATACCCCACAATTGTCCATCTAGTTCAAATGCAACCCAAATCCATTTACCTTCATCATCCCAAAAATAGTCTTTAAGCACAAAGGGAAGATTGGGAGTAAAAAGGATAGCTACACCACCACACGTTCCGACAGACGGAGCCCAAAATTGAGGTCCTCGCCACCATGACATCTGGCGACTAAAAGTATGTCGGTCCAACTTGGTTTCCTGTAAACAGACAATAGCCGCTCCATAATTTCTAGCCACAGTCTTGATGAGGGATCGTGCCACTTAAATAAAGAAAAAACAGAATAAAGAAATCCAGAAGATAGAAATTCGAGAAGAAAGCATTTATAACTGTTGATTAGTCCCCCCACTGTTGCATCATGAGGCCAGCAAAACCAGGTTCAAAAACTTTGTACTGTGAGGGCATTATGGCGTTTAATTCGTGCAGAAGTTTCGCTGTCCACAGTCCACCCACCTGAGTAGTAGTAGTCATTGTCCCTTTTGAATCCGCAAAAAGACGCCATGCAATTCACCTGGCCCGAGGCATGTTGGCCACCTCCTGTGCACTATCGAGGTGGCGTGCCTCCAAAAAGAGAAAAATCAGAGAGATTTCTTCTCCTGTCGGAAGTGTTTTTGGTATCTTGAGCCATTGCACTTCCCATCCATTTTTGTATTTCAGATAAAATATCCGAAATGGATGGTTCTGTGTGACAAGGTACGTGAGGAATATAGAGAACAGCGTTCTCTTGCATGGCTGTCAGTAATCTCAACTCTCCATTCCAAGCCAAAATTAAAGGGATGACAAGAAAAGGAGGCGTCTTCAGATTTTCCTGATCAGCAAGGCGAGAACCCACTGTCATACCAGGCGGTGATCCATTGTTGACATCACCCCATGCTTCTACGACCGGTTGAGTGGTACCCACATCACCATCCACCCGTGAAATCACAGGCTGATCTCCCCCAACATCCTGTTGATCATGTATTGTCCCCCACACAGGGCAACCCCCACTCTCACCCGACTGTCCATCTCCCCCAGAGGAGCACGCTCCCCCCCCCCCCCCCCCCCCCCCCCCCCTGCCCCCCCCCCCCTACCACCACCCCTGCGATAGGGGGACTTTTGGTGAATTCTCTGTTGCCGAGTATCTTCAATGTGGGACTTAGATCGCCTTTCCGAACGATTTGCATCACGCGCCTGTGACATATTAATATCTCTGGAGGCTGATGAAGGCTGATCTGACGTGCCAATTTCCTGACCCAAAATGTCAGGCCATTTGTCAGAGGGCACATTTGCCAGACAACGGCCTTTGAATGAAGGATGACCGTACCATTTGCAGACGTCACACCAAGGTGTATCCTGTGTGACAACATTGAGGGTAAGAAGACCCTCAGTAGTATGGACAGTGATAGTCGGTTGTACTTTGGATCGAGCAGAAAGTTCGAGGTCGTATCGGCGATTGACCAACCGAGGTTCATTCTTCCTTTTTTCCAGTGGTTGAGCCCGAATAACACGTCCATAATGAGATTCAATCGCTCCTTGCAGGGAGGAGAGGGCCATGTAAGGGATCTTGAGAACCCTTATCCAGAACCTCCCTTCCTGCGCCGTCTGTCTGTCTTTTTGCAGTTCTGTCGGGGTCAACCACGGTCTAAACCTGACTTTGTACTCTCCCCCATGCCACCTAATTCGTCCTTCACCCAAGTCATTAACAAGCCAATTTCTCAATCGTTCAGTCGGAGCCAAATATGAGACAACTGATGCTCCTGGTCGAATACGACCATGTTGACCCGAAGTGAGGGATTCATCCCATTTGGCCTCAGCTCTGCGCACCCAATCTTCCTTTTCCTGGAATGTCATATCTGGACCACATTCAACGAAAAGAACCATGACTCCTTGTTTCTTCAAGTAATCTATTTGAATCTTCTCATACCGTGGATCCAGATGAATGTCCAGGGATTTGGTGACCGGATTAATAGCCGAACGATTATATCTGTTCGCAAGAACTGGGTTCTCCTCCCCTGTTAAGAAGCAATTAGAGACCATTTCTTTAATTTGTCTTTCTTCTTCAGGAGAGAGAGTGTGGGAATCAACAGCGTCAGGTGCCATAATTTATGACCCTGGTAATCAAAGATATCAAATAGAAAAACGAAAATAAAAATAAGCGCCAACACACCTTGACGTCGACAATAAGCTAACCTCATGTGTCAACAAGAGTCGATAAATTTTTTATTTTTTTTTTCCCCCACCGCCCGCCAAAAGAAAACAGTAGCTGTTATTAGGGCCCAGTGTCCAAGGCTTCAAAAAAAAAAAAAAAAAAAAAAAAAGGGAAAAAAAAAGAAAGAAAGAAAGAAACACAAAGTGTAAATAAAGAGGTGCAGATTCAGGGGTCGCAAGGCCTCCAATCCCGCTTCTTCGGCGGGAGACCCTCCCCAGTAGTAAACAACTGTCGACAACGTAAAAAAAAAACAAAATAAAGACGATGATAAATATTAAATATTTTACGCACCAGTAAATGGAGCCAGACTATTTAGTAGTTGCTTCTTTTTTTTTTTTTTTCAGTACTTACTATGTCTTTACTATTTAGTATGACGACTTTATTTCATTATGTATGCATTTATTGAATTTAATTCCTTATGTATGTTTATTTCTTCATTGATGCAGTATTTAATTATGTATTTATTTGTTTATTTAAGAAAGGAGGGAGAGTTGTGGATCCGCTTGCCTGGTAAAATGCCTTAGGTGTGCCTCCGTAAATACTAAATATTCCTATGTTTTTTTATTTATTTACTGATGCATTATTTATTTATTTATTTTAAATATTTATTTATTTATTTATTTATATTTATTTAAGAAAGGAGGGAAAGTTGTGGATCCGCTTGCCTGGTCAAATGCCTGAGCTGTGCCTCGGTAAATATTCCGCGAGAATTGATCGAGAAGCAGCAGCAATGCTAGGGTACTACGGGGATTGTCTTCCCAAGAGGACAGTTCTTCCTTCCTGGCTTTTTCATGCAAAGCTGCGAAGCGTCGGATGATAACTTGGTCCACAGCAGGACCGCCCATAAACCATTTCTTGACAAAAAACTTGTCCAGATTCGCTCCTCCACATTGTGGCTGCGCTTCTGCTTCTATCTGACCTTGTCCATCAGCCTGCTGCACAGACAAGAAGAAAACACAGTGAGAGAGACAGAGAGAGAGAGAGAGAGAGAGAGAGAGAGAGAGAGAGAGAGAGAGAGAGAGAGAGAGAGAGAAGAGTGCACAAGAGAGAGAGAGAGAGTCCACATTGTGGCTGCGCTTCTGCTTCTATCTGACCTTGTCCATCAGCCTGCTGCACAGATAAGAAGAAAACACAGTGAGAGAGACACACACAGAGAGAGAGAGAGAGAGAGAGAGAAGGAGCGAAGAGTGCACAAGAGAGAGAGTGAGAGAGAACGAGAGTGAGAGAGAGAGAGAAGGAGAGAAGAGTGCAAGAGAGAGAGAGAGAAGGAGAGAAGAATGCAAGAGAGAGAGAAGGAGAGAAGAATGCAAGAGAGAGAGAGAAGGAGAGAAGAGTGCACGAGAGAGAGAGAAGGAGAGAAGAGTGCACGAGAGAGAACGGGAGAGAGAGGGACATAGACAGAGGGAGTCAGAGTGAACGAGAGAGAGAGAGAGAGAGAGAGATGGAGAGGGGGGAGGGGGGGAGGTGGCGGGCCGGCATTGTCAAAATGGATGCAGGTCCTCCCTGTTCACACACACACACACACACACAGATGGCTGCAGCAGAGATGTCCTTTTAGTCAGAAGGGCGAGGAGTCTGCCAGGGAGCAAGCATGTCGTTACCTTTGCGTCATCGCTGAACCAGAACTGCAAGATCGTTTCGACATTTTCATTGGATGACACTTTCTCTCCCTGATCAACGGTGGCAGTAGACTCTGGCGGCATTGCGGCTCTCTGCAAACTTCTGGCAGGATCTCCACCAGAGTGGCTGGTTGTCCTACTCCCGCAGTTTCTTTGCAATCCACCACTGCGCACACCAAAGCTGATCCCGCACCGCTGGCTTCTGCGAAGATGAAGACTATCAAATGGCGCCGCAAGCGTGTTAAAAAACTGACACGTGGCACACCCCCATGTGTGACACCGTCTGTGGCAGTGGCAATCCACCTCCCTGTTCACCATCATAGCCCACCGAGTCAGTCCGAGTCGGTCCATTGGCAGAGCAGAGCTCTGAGCAAAACAGTGCTCATCATAATTCTTATACCCACTCTGCTTCTGATGACCAGCATGATTAGTGGTGGTCCCCCACCTCATCAGATTGGCAGCCGCAGCAAATAGCCCTCTCCTACAGATGAGAGGCTGATTGGAGTTCCAGGAGACAAGGAGTAACTGCTGAAGCTGAACTCCAGCTTTAGCTTGCCCCACAGGATAGCCCAACATGACATTCATGGCCCTCTGTTTTTTTCCTTTTTCTTTCTCAGGCGCTGCCTACCTGCCTGCCTGCCTGCCTGCCTGCCTGCCTGCCTGCGTTGTCAGACACTTCCTGCCTGCCTGTGATTTCAGGCACTGCCTGTGTTTGTCAGACACTCACCACCTTCACCCACAGCCCATCAAATCTGTCACCATCAACCCACACCATCACCCATTATAGGGGTAATATAGCCCATCAAATCTGTCACCATCAACCCACACCATCACCNAAATCTGTCACCATCAACCCACACCATCACCCATTATAGGGGTAATATAGCCCATCAAATCTGTCACCATCAACCCACACCATCACCCATTATAGAGGTAATAAAGCCCATCAAATCTGTCACCAGAGACTTAGGGCCATCACCCTCACAGAATCACGACCATCACCCACAGCCCATCACATCTGTCACCATCAACCCACCCCCATCACCCATTTTTATAGCCCATCAAATCTGTCACCAGAGACTTAGGAGGACCATCACCCTCAGCCTATACAATCAGCCCACCACAGAGTAGTCACCACCATCACCCACAGCCCATAAAGATCTGTCACCATCAACCCACCACCAGTATTTTACTCATGTGAAGTCATGGACTGGTTTCTTCAGCCCTCTTTTTATGTGTAGGTGCTTTATATGATTGACATAAAACCCGACTTGTTAAATATTATGGAGGTTTAGTCTGTACAATGCCTATCTTGAAACTTCTCTTCTATTTTCCTATTTTCCTGTTTTAGGGTTTTTTTAACGTTTTTACTTTAGCCACCCTTGGGTATTACCTACAGCTTGTATTCATTCAGTCATTTCATTTCGGTTGAATTCTCCGGTCCTCTTTTCTAAACAGTTTTTTTTTATATTATTATTTTTTTTTTTTTTAGGTACTTTTTGTTACAGCCAATCAAATCTGTCAGCAGCGACTTAGGAGGACCATCACCCTCAGCCTATACAAAAAATCAGCCCACCACAGAGTAGTCACCACCATCACCCACACCCCGTAAAATCTGTCACCATCAACCCACCACCGTCACCCACAGCCCTCAGTCACGTGCGTTCTAATCGGGAAAAGAGGGACGGGTAAGTGAGGCACGGACGAAAATTAGCCATCGTCTAACAGAAGCACAACATCAAAAAAAAAAAAAAAAAACCAACCGAGTAGAACATGGCCGCCATTCTTTGTGTTTTTCTATAGAACTTCACTTGCACTCGCACTCGCACTCGCACTCGTCCCCTCTGCCAATCCACCACCACCATTTTCTCCCCTTCCCACCGAAACCACTCACTACCCCAATAAACTATGGGCTCACCTTTGGGTTGGGTGTGGGTGTGGGTGTGGGTGTTTGGGGGGGGGGGGAGGAGGGGGAGTGGGTCACCCCCTTACCGTCCATGTCCCCATGCTGAAGACAGAGAAAGGGCCTCGCTCGTCCACTCACCAAATATCGAACATGAGAATGAACCTTGCGACAGAACAGGCAAAGATACACCGCACTAGAGGAGTGTGCGGCAGAACGAACGGTAATGAATGGGCGACGAGTACTGTGTTAGAACTTAAGAATTCAAAAAAAAAAAAAAATCAAATTCAATTACGTAAATTAACTAGTCCAGATTTTTTCTTTCTTTTAATGCCCAATAGCGATATGAGACGCGATGTCAAACCATTGAGAGATACGGAGGAGAATGGAAAGGCCTAGCGACCCACCCCCCCCCCCCCCCCCCCCCCACACAGAGAGAGCCACACCGCCACCTGGCGACGAGGACCACGACGG